GAAAGGTGAAGTTCACCACACACCTAATTGGCAGACCTGGTACAGGTCCAACTTCAGGGCAGCCGAACAATCAATGAGAGCAAAGTAAAAAAGGTTACTTCAGTCCATCAACAGGGGAGCCGAACAGTCAATGAGAACAAAGTAACAAAAAAGGGTACTTCAGTCGAATACCAGGGCAGCCGAACAGCAGATGAACAGCAGATAATATCTTCGTGAACATCAGATGATAGCCTCTGAAAGTTTCAGTCGAACATCAGGGGATGAAAACAAAACTTCTCCATGAAAGTTTCAGTTGAACATCAGATGGAAATTTCTCCATAAAACAGAACCTTCTCCACGCTGGAAGATGAAAAGTCAGGCAGACTTCTACTTGCTGAAAGCCGAACAGCAGATGGACACAACTGGAAGATGAAGGGACAGACTGCTCGACTTTGGAAGATGAAAAAATCAGACTGCTCGACATCACCCTTCAGGCCTGGACGACCTGCTCTGATACCATATTGAACAAGAGAAAGGGAGAGAGGAGAGGCGAGAGGACTGAGAGCCCAAAAAGAATACTGCAGGCGTGCAGTATGTTATTATTTATACTAGGATGGCCGTACAACTTAAAGAATGAAGAAATTACAAAAGTACCCTTGCGGTACCAAACATATATACAACAACATCTGTCAACGGCTACTAACTTCAGGGTGTACTGGGAGTTTTGTTTAGTCTCTCGCTCACTTTCTGATAGGTGAAGATGAAGTACTCATCAATTTCATGTTTATTTCCAATTGTATAACACTGAATATCTATAATCAAGTCATGCTTTAAAGATTACTCTTTTGAACATAATATCTTTCAATTATTACTTCTTATTTCTTTTAATGGAATTTCTATGTGAATTTCAAATAGCTTAATTGAGTTTGTGTTCATTCAAAATATTGGTTAAATCTTCCTTCTGTCAATAAAAAGGTATCAAGCCTGACCTATTGAATTTGTTATGCTGCTATGTTACAGGGCTGATCAGATGGGCAAGGAATTTAGGAATCAGCTAATGAAAGTTCAGAAGCAATTCCCTCAGATAATAAAGGAAGTTCGAGGAAAAGGTTTGCTTAATGCCGTGGAGCTAAACAGCAAGGCTCTATCCCCTATCTCTGCTTATGATGTCTGTCTCAAGTTGAAAGATAGAGGAATTCTTGCTAAACCCACACATGACACAATAATTCGTCTAACCCCTCCGCTCTCCATGAGGTAAACAATATATTCTTGATGAATCTTCCATCTTTGGAGCTATCTTGAGTTCTATTGTATATAAAAGTGTTTCTTGACAGAAAGCCCAATTAAGTGTTGGTGGTGCCTTCATCCAACAATGTGGATGGTCAAGAACTACATTCTCACTAACTGGACTCTCCAAATGGTCCAATACCTTTGGATAGGCTATATTCATGGATAGTTAACATCTACAGGGTTATGAAATCCAGCCCAGGGGCAATGCAAAGGATGGCCCAACCAATATCATAGGCCTTGATAAATGCATAAGTAGGCTACGTGTTTAATAGGGGATAAAATAATAACCAATCAGTACACCACTCTGCACCATCATTTTTTTGAATTAAATATTACAGTGAAAATTGATATTCACCTCTATGTTGGTGATTTCAACCATCACTTTAATTACTTTTATCCTGTTAAATGGATGAAGTGTCCTCGTCAAACATGCATCATATTCCATCACTCTATGGATTCTTGAGCGACACTTCTATGTAAAATTTTGCTTATTTTAAATTAATGAACAGCTAATGTACACTAGCATTTTCCTATAAATAGTGAAAAACAAATTTCAGAGATTCTTCTATAGGAGTACAATGTTGGATATAAAAAATAGGACTATTTTAATAGTTTTTATTTTTCTACCTATATCTCCACAAGTCTTTGTATTTTCACCTTGCTGAGTCAGACTCCCAGACATGCATTGGGTTCTGATTTCATATCCGTGTGTATGCAATTATGAAAAATAGTTATAAATTAAGTGTTATAAATTTTGGGCGTAATTACCTGTTTTATCAAATTAGTCTTACAAGGCTTGGTACTTTTTTTCAGTAAGTTTTCTAGTATTAAATGCGAAGGAAGTCATCATACTTCCTAGTATAAATATGAGATAAAGTCGTCATACCTCCGTAATTTATAATTTTTTGGGGTTATTAGTGGCTGGAATTTGTCAGGGTTGTGAAGGCAATCAATGAATTTCCTTTTTTTTTCTTGTGGCCTATTTTACTATTTAGTTGTGGTGATAGGATAGTGTGTTTGCTAACTTTTTTCCTTATTAGATTTAATTATATATTAGTTTTTTAACTTTGTTTTGATGGAGATACTGATGAGAACTCATTTTCAATCACATTCTTTTTGGCTAATAAATATTTGGGCTGTAGCTAGCTTTCAATGCCGTTGAATTTCTTCTGTTTTTCAGCCATTGAATTCCTAACTTGGAGATTGTTTACATCAACTCATCTGGCTTGTTCCATTTATCATAATTTTATCAGGTTATTTACAAATGGTTCCTAAAGAAACTATCAAGGTAGACAGTTTTAAAACAAAACCAATAGCTTGGCTGTGCTTCTGCGTTGAAATTCCATTTGGCAACTGAAAGTTGTTTCTCAACAGTGTCTTCTTCTACATTCTGTGTTCTAGAAATCTAAGGTACATACCTGGCAGATCATGAATATGACACCAACTGTGCAGCCACCAAAATGGTGTGAATGAAAGTAAATACACCATGTATAGGTCCAGTCCATTTTTGGATGGATAAAAACAATATGGTAACTATATAGAGGGCACCCTACAGGTTCTACTATGATAATCCATTTGATGACTTTACCACAAATTTGGAGGGATGTCACTGCACCTTCATCACTCGTCTTCTGTGGAGCACATGTCAACTCGCTCTTGAATTATGGGTACCAGGAAGTTATATTTTTTTGTCTACTGAATGACATGTAACAATTTTATGGCCAATGTACTTTGAATAGAAAAATGGACAACTGAGTTAAACCACCTACTATTTTCTGTTGTTTCTGGAATCGTTCCATTTTATAGTTTTATGACAATTAAAAAGCGGTCTTTATAATGGATTTTTGTGCACGTCTGACTTTCAGTTCTGAAGATCTCCAAGAAGCTCCAAAAGCACTGCACGCTCTTCTGGAGCATGATCTGCCAGAGATGAAGAAGCAGAAGCCAGAAACTGTCTCTGGAACAGTCCCTAATGTATGTGACCGCTGTGGAAGAAACTTATATGGCTAGCCAGATAAGTATTTGACGTATATATAAATACAAATATACGGGCCTACAAAGCTTTCTCGCTATCTTCTCTGTTTCATAGTAAAATTAAGAGTGTATTTGTTTAATTGAAGTCGTATGAAGTTTGCATTGGGACTACAATTTCTGTGAGATTACTCATCAATCAGTGGTTCAAAATGCAAATTATGCGGTGAAGCAATATTACAGTTTTCCTGAACATGTATATTTGATTTTAATTTTATTCAAGATTACAGTTTATCACAAGTTTCGAGCTAATTGCCTGTTTCAGATGTGGTCTTCTGATTCTGATTGTGAGTGATAACCAGATTGACAGATAGATGGGCCAAATGTATGGTATGCTAGACGTCTCCATCAAAGATTATATTAACTGGGGCCATCCTGTATTCCCTCTATGTAACAGATTAAAGCATCTTCTAATCTATTTTCAATGATTGATACAGTGGTTTATTTCGAGAAAAAATGATAAAAAGAAATACATAAATTCTGTGTGCACGTGAGAGGAAATGAGATACCTTAGCAGTTTACACGGATCTCCTCCTTAATTGGTGAGAACACGTGCAACCAATGTATGGATGAGAGAGAGAAAGAGAGAGGGCATTTAAAGCCCCCTCTATGGAACAAATAAAATAAGATGCTTGTCTTGAAAAGACAACCCATCCTATACACAGAAATATATAGTCTATTTGAATGGGTGATGTAGTTCATATTATTTACTTGTATGGATTTGATTATTTTAGAAACTTATTGGAGCTCAAAGGAGACATGATTGAGACAAAATAATGCAGAGGTTTGGGTCTTATATGGTTATATTGTAAAGGACAGCTTCTTTTCATTATATAATACTGAGTTATGTGGACGGGGCATGTAATCCATGAGGGGTTAATACTTTTCTTTTGTTTGGAGACACCATTAGGACATTATTTTAAGAACCTCTGTTGTCTCACATTATTGTATTGGTACTTAGAACTTCTCTTTCTCAGAAAGAAAAAAAAAATGAGGAGCTTAGCTGTTTTGAGATTATATTCTATAGGCAACCTCTATTCTTCAGTTTATTAATGATGCTTTGTATTATAATATAGTTTTTCCTCATTTAAGTCTACCCATTTTGCACTGATTTATATTGTGTTAATAATATTAGCAGGATAATAGGATCCATGGGTTAGTTAGGGAAATTATAAACAAATTATTGATCTTAGCTCATCTAGGGTTGTAGTCAGATTTATTTAATTATTAATTATTATATATTACTAGGAGATTAGAATAGAGAAATTATAGATGGTACTGATGTTTCCAAGTCAGGTTTATGGCGCCCAGCTATGCATAATGAGGATTAATTAAGGTAATGAACTATGGTTAGCAAAAAAAAACAAGTCAATGCAAATGGATTGTTAGAATTTCTTTATGGTTTACAATTTTGAAAAGAGTATCGAATTCAGGAAACGAGCACATAATCAGAGGGTCCCGATTGGTCGATTTGAGCCCGGCCGGTCGGTTTGGAGCATCTACATTGATGATTTATATGAGGAAGCATACTCAAGAGCTTGCATTGTTCTTGTTGAGAAAAGGCTGAGTCAGTCTTTAGGGCTGTGAAGCCCACATGTTTGCCACTGGATCCTACACTTCCTTTCTTCCTTCCTTTTGCCTTTCCACTTTCCAGTGGTGGATGAGCTAGGGTTCAGCCTGACCCTAGCTTTCCTTAACAACTGCAAAATAATTACAACCAAATGTATTTGCTTTCTCTAGCATCATTCCCCAGCAAACTCAGGTGGAAGCAGAATTATGTTTGCCACTGTCCTTTGCTCTTCTTTACATGCACTCCCCTTCATATTTTAGTGGCCTCATTGGCCACCCAGCCCAGCCATCACCATAACATGTAATAATCCTGTGATTTTCTCTGAGGCATTCTCACGTGCCACTTGGCAAAAAGACAAGAATACCCTCCTAGAATTGCCCAATAAAGAGGATGGTTTGCTGGCTTAAGCCAAAATGTAAAGGGCACCTTGGTCTTTTCAGCAGATGGTCTTGTGATTCTGTAGAAATTAGTGGGGCCAGATTGGAGTGCTTTGTTCTTGATGTTCTCACGTATCTTGCTTAATTACTTACTGCCCCTTTGATTATTATTTAACTAATATTTAAAATAGCACCAACGGACTATCTCTTGAATTTAATGCTTCCATGCTAACCCATGATGCGCATGTGTGATTCTGCCTGTACTGTACGACTCTGTGCCCTTCTTTTTAAAAATAAATAAATAAAAATGAAAGTTTATTACCATTGAAGGTACATAAGGTACTATAGTATCTTACTACCATGTGTAATCCCTCGACCTAATTACCAAAATACCCTTTCTCATAGAAGGACATTCCTGTCTTTTCGTTTAATGCCCTAAATCCCTAAGTCCTAAGTCCTAACCCATCTCACCAGTCACCATCATCACAGGGCAAAACTTTTTAATCTAAGGACTGTGAAGGTTTCTGATGATATAAGAAAATATTCCTTCCCGGAGTTCCGGGTTTTCTTTGAAGGGTCGGTAACCCCAGGGATTTCAGTGGATCGGGTTAGGTGGCAAAACCGCACTGACCCCAACCCTATTGGGTTAGGAATTAGGATCGGTTTAGTCGGGTTCAGGTTGAAGTGATCATGTGCTACGCCGCCTCTCTCCCTTTCCTTTTTTTTCTATTCGGGTCGGGTAGAGGCTGATATTTACCGAACCGGACCCATTGACGCCTTTATGGCCGTGGATGAAAAGACAAAATTACCCTTGGGGAAACGAATCTTCATATCCTCGGGTTTAACGGAGATCCTTGAATTTAGCAATTTTCTTTCTCTTACTCCAGCTCTACGGTTGTTGAAACCCTCGGGACATGAGCTGTTGAGTCGCTGTCGTGGAATGGAAGTACGGCACCGCATCTATTTCCGTTCCGTTCTCGGGTTTTTGTCCGTAACTACGTTTTTGGCTGAAAATCATATGCTCGGGAAGCGTGCCCGTGCGTGCGTGTTTTCTTATGAGATGCCTTCGCGTGGGACTCACCCCAAACCAAACCCAATCCGCCACGTATCCCTTAAATAAATGGTTTCTTGTCGGGACCCACCCACTACCAAACATATCAAGCTGAATCATGATCTCAACCGGGTGATGATCATGGCTTCTGGAGCCAACTGACCACGTGCTTCCCTTGGTGGGACCCCACTCCTTTATAATGACTGATCTTTTCCTTACGTGACACATGGCAAATCATATTAACATACAGAGACAAAATAGCAACTTAACTATTCTTTCGCGGGACCCACCCACGAAAGAAATCATGATCACAACCAAGTGATGATGGTTTCTACTTTGTCGGGTTCATTGCCACGTGGCAACTTGCGTAAAGGGTGTGAAAAGAGAGGGGGAGGAGTAATTTGGTATCTCAGGAAATAGCGTTTCTGAATGGACCACAAGTCCCGATGCCCTTGGATCTAACAACGGTTCAGATTCTAGGGACGACCGGGCTTTTTAGACGAGGAACATCAATCAAGTAGACACGCTCTTGGGTTGCCAAAGAGTCAACCGGTCAAATCCATATAGTGTCGGAACCGGGCAGACCGGTCTAACGGTCCTTCGGGATGTTGTCACGATATGGTTAAAATTTAGGCGGAAACAACGGCTATTTCGGATTCCGAAACCGAAATGTTTATTACAGCAGCGCTACAAAGAAGGTGTCGGATGTTCTCCGCATATGTAACATTGTAGTTCTTTTAGGAAATTTTAGGTGATTATAGTGGCCAAGTTGGAGAATTAAAAGCCAGAAAATAGATTTTTAAAGAGGAAAACAATAAAAAGCAAAAAAAGAACTATTTTAAAATAAATAAATCTATATAAATATGTTTTTCTCATTTTAAATTGAGTTATATGATACCGGCATATCAAGAGACATTGGAGAGAGTGTGTTGAGATTGTAAAAATCTCAAAATCTGAATTTAAAAAACAAAAAATCATTACAAAAAAGTGTATGAATGTTTCAATAAGAGTAAAAAATATGGTAAAAAAAGATTTAAATCAGGAACATAAAAATCTTGGAATTAAAAAAAAAAATTATCCTTCACTTTCAGCCTGATAGCTTAGAAATTCACGGCAATAAAGCTTCACTTTTAAGTTTATCTTTCCTTTTCTTTTTCTTCGTTGGGGGCTGGTATTTGGACATATTTTATTTTTGATAAACCAGGCTCATCCCTAGTGAAAGGACAAAGTAACCCTTGTTTGTAACGATAAAATTAATACATATGGATCTTTTTCTCGACGATAGGGTCTTCAGGTTCTTGACAGTTTGATCACACACGGGGTAAATCATCTGATTCAGCTCATGATCTACTCAGTTTTTCAGTTTGATGTTCGAATTAATTTTTAGAATATTGGTTTTTTATTTATCTTTTTTAAAAAATAGCATTAATTTTTATTTATCTTTTTCTAAAAAAAAGATAAATAAAAAAAAAAAACAGCAACCCTACAAAGGAAGAGAAAAGATCAATGTATAGATGATGGGGACTAAGGACTGAACACATAGTACATTATCTGAGATTGCTAGTTTAATGGATGTCATGGATTGGTCATAGTCATATTATGCTTCAAAGTGGTTGAGAGAATCGGGGCCCTTAGCAAAGGGATTTCACTCACCTTTATCCTCCAACCAAATGATTTTCCAACATTTTTTTAATAAAAGAGATTGTAGCCTTGTAGGCTTATTATTGAACTTGTTTGAGTGGGTTTTGACCAATGTTTTCAACTTATCACTGACCTGGCCAGTTGGACCGCTGATGCAATGATTCGATCATAGTCCCGGTTCAAGTCGGCCTCTAAACCCATTGACCTGGAATGTTGAACCATTAATACCCTGTGAGATGGGTGTGAGGGTTATTGGGTTTTTGTATTATTTTGTCTTTTAAACTTTTTTTATGTTGATAAGATCATGGGTTGACCCCCTTAATCCATCCAAATGATTAAGAAGAATGGTTCAACATCCGGCCAGGTTTTGAAACATTGGTTCGAACTGAAAAAAAAAACAATATTTTATTTTTATTGCTGGGCCAAGCCTAGGCTTGACTATCTTATTTCTGCCACGTTGAGAGTGCAGACAATTTCCACCACTCACCAGTTATAGACACCTTTGAGGTTAGTTTCTAGCACGCATTAAACCTTACAGCCTATTATTTATTAGGGCATTCTTTCAGGTGATGTTAGTTGTTGAAAGTTGAAAGCTAAATTGGTCTGTTTGGAGGGTTGAGCTGAAGATTCAGCTATGTTGGTTCAGTTGCTTTGAATTATTTTTGGATAAGTTATTTGAAGAGGATGAAGGGAAAGCTCCTTAAGCAACTGATAAACAGTCAATTTGAGTTCTTCGAGTATTTTTTACTAAGTTGGTTCAGCTGTTTTGAAGTAGTTTTGGATAAACTATTCAAAGAGGATGAAGCAAAAAGCCCAACAAGCAACTGATAAACAGCTAATTTGGATTCTTTGGGTTTTTTTACCAAACACTGCATATGAACCGTTTATATGGAGCCCATCTTGATAAGCTAGAAGCTGTTGTGCTTCAGCCCTCCCGGATCAGTTATGTCCACTGTGCCCTGTTTGAATGACTTGAACAGAGTGCTTCAAAACTAGGTTTAAAATATCCAAACACCATGATACGTCAGAAGACGTGTATAGGGGATTTGAAGAACACATTTTATTTTTTTAGGTGCCGTTTGATAAATCTTTTTTGAAATACCTTCTGGAATATCTAATAGCCAAAAAACGTAATGGATTTTTACATAAAAATCTTGGCAGCTTATAAATCGTTTGGTTGGAGGTGCGTCTTTCCACACAAAAATGAGATGAAA